TTTATGTTACTTTTTATGTAACATAATTATTAGTAATGAATACAATAAAAATAATACTACTGATTGCTAAAAAAAAAAAAGAAAGAAAGAAAAGAAAAAGAAAAAGAAAGAAGGCTGAGCAGGGGTCAGAGTAGCAATTCTGAGAGCAGTGTTCCTACATGGCCTTGCTTCAGCTCCTGCCTCCAGGTTCCTGCCCTGAGTTCCTACCTTGAGCTCCTTGATGAACTGTGACCTGGGAGATGTAAGCCAAATAAACCCTTTCCTTCCCAAGTTGGTACTGGTCAGAATATTTTGTCATAGCAATGACGAAATAAACTAGGACAGCTGCTATTGTCCCTATCAACTTTCCTAATATCTTGTATAGTTAAAGCAACATTCTACCATAGTAAGTAGTATTCCCATCTAACAGATTTGGTAACTAGGGCTCAGAAAGGTGAATAAAATGATTCAAAGCCATAAAATGCACAAATTATTCTATTGGATTAAATGACTAGATGTTTTTGTATCTACCAGTATCTGGTATCCTATTACAAAGCCAGGGAAAAACTGATGTAGGCTGCCTTATGCCTCTCATCTTCCTCTGCTCTGTGTAGCCACACTGTCTCCTCAAAGTTCTGTGAACTAGGAACCAATGTACAAGTGTGGCATCTTCCTCCCATCCATGGTCCACTAGAAACACTGCAAAAGCTCAGACTTCATTTACAAAGCCTCAGATATTCTTATTATTAAAGAAAGTTGTTACAATATTTCTATATATTATATTAACAGCCTTGTAATTTATTAATTTCAAACTAAATAGTATTGATTTCTGTTATAGATAGCCTTTCTCAACTTCTCATTAAAATTCTTTTTTGAGGATAAAAAGAGATTGAAAATCCACAACATTAAAATGAGCTGATAGAAGACAGGCGATACCTTCAGTCGAGTTGTTGGCCAGGATGGATAAAGGCTCTTCCAGATAGTAACCCAACATACTACTGGAAAAATGATCAGCAGACATTCATCTGGTCCTTCTAATAAAAATATCGAAAGAAAGAACATGAAACACAGACCAACTAATATTTATACCTGTTCAGAAAGTAATCAACCTACAGCAATAATATAAACAGAATCAAACTTTAACTCAACAAAGGCAGGCCTGAGTTTCATACCAAACAACCAGCAAAAGAAATCCATAGGCCCAGCACAATTCAAAAAGAGTAACCAACTGTCACTAGTAATAATCAGATACATAGAGATTAGAAGCACAAATGCAAACATCTTAATGTCAATTGCATTAAAAATGAATTTTTTTATGAAACTGTGTATTTTAATAATGAAATGGAGATCTTTTTTAAACGTTAAAACCTCATTTAATTTTATGTCTTATAGAGTTTATAATGAGTAAAAGATTATATAAGGGTAATAATTCATCTGTAAACCTAGAAATGGACAGCCAATTTTGAAAGAGATGTACCCTAGCTCAGAAAAATGTTATTGAATAGGTTAATGCTATTGTAATGAAATGCTTCTTCTAATTAAAAAAAAGAAAAGAAATAATGAACTAAACAACAACACTGAAATGCATTATGAAAAAGTGAAAATATGCAAAGCATGTATTTTTCATTTTGATCCTAGAGAGCAGTATGTGAATAGTTGAGTAAATGAACTACTATTGAAATACGAAAAAAAAAATGAGCTGATAGAGTTTTACAAATAAACAAAGGCTGTTAAAATGGAATGAAGGAATCCTCCCATTTACACTCCCCCCCCACACACACACATACACACAGACACACACTACTGAGTGCTTAATGGGGCCCACTTACTCTGTTAAACATTTTACCTAAAATTTTAGGTAATCTTAAAACAACTTGATGAACTAAGTATTAGTGTTATCCCATTATTAAATGAAGAAACAAATATACACAGAAGCTGCCTGAAGATCACATGAGTGACAAAACTACAATTTAAAAGTGGAGATTCAGGCCAGTGAGATGGCTCAGCACTTGCAGCCCACCCTGATGTCCTGAGTTTGATCCCCAGACCCACATGGTGGAAAGAGATAACCAACTCCTACAAGTTGTCCCCTGACCTCCATGTATGCATTGTGGCATGAAAGCACATGTACACAAACATACACACACCAAATAATTGCAATAAAGAATATTTAACAAATTCTAAAAGGTAAGAATCCTGAATTCGCAACATATGCTGTAAGCTCAAGTGAACAGTGACCAATCTATAGTGATTTTAAAACAGCCAGTGATTTCTGCACACAGGATAAGTTTTCTCTTTCCTTCTTTTAAATGTGAATACCCAGTTTTATCACTAAATTTTCCATATACATACCAACTTGTTTCTGGACTCTCTATTCTGTTCCATAGGTCTATGTCTATCTTAATACCAGTAACATACCATCTTAATTACTATAGTTTTGTAATATGCTTTGAAATCAGATGTGTACAACTTCTGGTTTTGAAATACACACATTTAATTTAGCAGTTTCACTTTTGTAACCATATCTTATATATTCATTATACACATTTAAATTAAAATTATCTACCCTGACCTTTAATCCTAGAATTTAGGAGGCAGAGGCAGGCAGATCTCCGTGAGATCAAAGCCAGCCTGGGCAACATATCGAGTTCCAAGTCATCTCAAGCTATATGAAGACCCTGTATCAAAATAAGAAAAAAAAAATGATTATCTGCTGAAAAGCTGTTTGAAAACCATCCAAAGTGAAGACTACTGAACTAAATAATGGCACATCCATTCTGTGAATACAAGAAAACTGAAAGAAAAGAATGAGAAAGTTTTCCTTGTACCAATATAGACAGTGTCCCAAGACACACTGTTAATAAAGTAAGCTTCATGTCTGTCCTATAATATGCTATCATTCATGTAAAAGGTATGAATAAATGAGAACCTAAATATTCAAGCATGTGCTTGGTTAAGAGACTCTGGAAGAATATTGGGAAGAAATGTGAAACAGAAGAAAAACAGAAGAGAATGGGAAGTGTGGTGTCTGCATGTTTTTCATTTTGCTTATTTCTATTTTTTAATATAAAAAATTTTTATTATTTTTATTTTATGTGTAAGAATGTATTGCCTGCATGTGTGTAAGTGCACTCATGTCATACAATGCCCATGGAGATCAGAAGAGGGCATCACATCCTTAAAGACCACTCAATGGGAGGGAACTCATATGTAGTACTGTAAACATAGCCAAATACACATGGCTGGAGGAGTCATAGATCTTAGAGAAAACCCAAGAGTCACATCCCTAAACAAATGTAATTTCTTATTATGAGCAAAATATGGCTCCTTACATTTACATACAAGTATCCCAGTCATCACTCATCAAAGAAGCTTCTTTTTCAACAGATGGATATTATTACCAAGTTCCACAACTGGTCATACACAGAGAACGAGGGTCTATGAGATGCCCAACCTTAAGTGACACATCTACAATGGAACCTCTGCACTAAGGCTCACAGAACATAGTGTAACAAGGAGTGGAGAGAACACTAATGCATCTCTCAATTCACATCAATGAAGTGCCCTCATGCAACAGAAGGCCATTAACACAAAAGGACACAAATGGTCAAAACGTAGAGAATAAGAGTCTATAGAGTGTGGGTCCTTAGACAGGACTCCTATATTAAACTCTACCTGCCCAGGACTCAGGAACCATTTCAGAAGAGGGGGATGAAAGATTGCAAGAGGCAGGGAGGAGATGCATGACCATATAGAAATAGAGTGTCAAAGACTATTAGGACCTTGTTCATAAGAACCTACAGCAATGGTGTCAGAATACACCAGACAAAAACCCAGCACAGAACTGTCGAAATGGGCAACAGGCCCCAATCTTAGTTGAAGAACTATTGGAAGCTCATTACTGCTGAGTGAGGAAGAGCTGATCTTCATTAAGGTAGTGACTCTAGATACACTGACTAGACCCCAGTGTATGAACTTGAACTGAGAGACATCTGGAAACACTAACTTGATTCAATAGGCCTTAACACAAATGACAGAATGTATGAATTCCAGTGGGGAGAGGGGATATGGGAGGGGGTCAAATGAGGAGAAGGGTATAAAGATGATTAAGATGTTCTGTATGAAACACATGAAAATTCAATTAAAAAATTTTAAAACAGGCACATGATGCAACTTTATCTGCACTACTTCAGTGAGTAATTGCTAACAATATTCTCTGAGATAGTGTCATTTTTCAAAGTCAGCAAACTAACAGCCACAAATTCCATTATTTTATCTATAAATATCACATCTGGGGGCACATATCGTATTCGGTTGTCATTAGCTCTTTTATATGAAAGAATTTTTCAATCTTTCTCTTCACACTTCTGAACAGAAAAGGGCAATAATGTTACATAACATCACTTTGGATTTCTCTTATGCTTTTGCAAGATTAAGCTTGGTTTGTGTAGTTTTAGTAGGAATACCACAGCAATGATGCTGTGTATCTCTGCAGTGAATCACGTGAGGTACATGCAATCAATTTATCTCAGTCCTGGTGATACTCACTTTGGGCAATTGCATAAGAAGTGGTTAAGAAGTCACATGCTCTCCCTGTGTAATTAATAAGCAATCTTATCAAGATGTAGTGAGATGATGTATTCATTTGTTTATTTTTCATCTAAAAAGACAATTCTATTAAATGAAATATTTGCCTTTATCCAGAGTGCATTTGTAACGTAAGTCATTAAATTTAACACTGTACATACAAGCTCTTTCTGACTCATACACAGTAAGATCACCTTAGAAAGTGAGTCTAAAACAAAATAAATATTGTTGAATATTTTGCTGGAAATGGTAGCAAATATTATGGATAGTGGCAGAAAAAAACACAAAGAATCTAAAATGTCTAGCTATATTATAGTACTTTCATAACAGGAAATAGATTACAAGTGTTTTAGAAGATGTCCATCAGTTGCAACAATGCCACACAAGCAAGTGCTACGAACAATCCTTCCGCATGTCCTGTGCTTCGTTTTGCACTTACATCATTCCAATCCTAATGCCAAATATCCAAACTTCATTTCTTATCTACTTTCATTGTCCGGATCCATAGACTTTTCATGGCTTTCTTCACTTCTGCATTTCTCAGGGAGTAGATGATGGGATTGAGGAGGGGAGTTATCACTGTGTAGAACACAGTTACCATCTTGTCTACAGGCAGAGTGGCAGAAGGTCTCAGATAGATGAAGATGCAGGGACCAAAGAACAAAACAACCACAGTGACATGGGACCCACAGGTGGACAGGGCTTTGTACCGCCCATCAGAGCTTTGAGTCCTCAAGTGGAACAAGATGATCACATAGGATGCTAAGAGGACCACAAAGCTGATCACAGATAGTGTCCCTCCATTTACAACGATCAGCAGACCAATAAGGAATGTGTCTGAGCAGGCAAGTTTGAGTAGAGGAAGCAAATCACAGAAATAATGGTCAATGACATTGGGGCCACAAAAGGGCAACGGAAAAATGAAGAGACTCTGGGCAAAGGAATGCATGAAGCCTCCCACCCACGCTAATCCCACAAGGGCAGTGCACACCTGCCGGTTCATGATGCTAGTGTAGTGCAGGGGCTTGCAGATGGCTACATAGCGGTCATAGGCCATCACCGTGAGCAGGAAAATTTCAGTACCACCGAAGAAGTGCATGAAAAAAAGCTGTGTCATACAGCCCCACACGGGTATGGATTTCTTTTCAGCCAAAAGATCAATGATGAGTTTGGGGGCTGTGGTAGAGGAGTAACAGATCTCCACAAAGGACAGGTGGAGGAGGAAGAAGTACATGGGGGACCCAAGACTTCTGCTGGCTGCAACAGTGACCACCATGAGGAGATTCCCCAGCACGATGGCTGCATACAAGATCAGGAACATCACAAAGCAAACCCTCTGCACCTGCTGATTAGGAGAGAGTCCCAGAAAAATGAATTCAGTCACATTGTGTGTGTTAGCCATGAGGTCCCCACCAAGAGGAAGCAATGCTCTGAAGTGACCTGAAATGATACAAGATTAAATAAAAGCTCTTGCATGTCTGAGAAACCTGTGATCTAAGTATTAAGGGATGAGTAGGGAAAATAAGTATGCAAACAGGATAGCCCCCAAAGAAGACAGAGAGAGTACAGATGCACTGTATGTGGCTGGAACAGTGGAGAATACAGCAAAGTTTAGACTAGAGACTTCCACCAGGTTATAAAGGACTGTTAGGAATTTTGGTCTTTACCCTGCAGCCAATGGGAAATCACCAAAAATGTTTGTCAACTGAGGAGTAAATCCCCTTGTATGCAGAACTGGAGCAGCAGAATCTGATCAAAGAGACCAACTATAATGTCACTAAATCCCCTCATTGGTCCATATGGGGCAACCAGGATGTATTGTCATGTCTAAGTTAGATGTTTTTCTAATGCTTTTGAGTGTTTCTACTATACTTTCCTCTACAGCTTTTCTTTGTTATACTTTCCTTGCTCATTTTCTCTCTTTGGTCTACATGAAAAAAGGTTCTTAACCTCTCACATACTCATCGGTATCTTCAGAAGAGATGTCCCTGATGCACAACCCTTGATACTCAACATCCCTTAAAAAGACCATAAATCTGAACACAGTCATAGTTTGTGATCCTCTTCCTACTTCCTTCAAATTCCATCTTTTTATACTTGATTGCTTGATGGCCTCGACATAACTCAGTCCGTGCACAAATCCTCTTTACTGGCAGTTTCATTTTCTCCAAATTTATGCCTCCCATGGTAGCAGTCACCCAACGTCCTTCTACAGTGTTCATCCATGCTCTAACACATCCTCCTCAAAGTCCATCTATATAACACATTAAGGCACCACCCAGAATGCTCAGTGATCAGCAAGTTCCATGCTGGGCTCTGTCCAATTTGTTGACAACTGTGGACACCAAGACAGGCTCTCCTACAGTGAGATGCCAAAGCACCTGTAAAATAGGAGCCCAATGAGTCTACTTATATCACAAAGCTGCTCTCCTTCAGTGATCAGACAAGTGAGATCGTTAAGATCCCCACAGGCCAGAGGGAACACACTAATATAAACACGGAAACAAGAGGAAGGCAGAGACCAGACCTAAATTCTTAAACCACTGTAGAATTCTGCCAAGAATCCATTGATGAAGGAAAGCACTACTGACTGCTAGACTCCTGGCCTCACATTCAGGTTTTCTTGGATGGTAGTTATAACTAGAAAGTTCTTTAAATGCTTAGAGACTAAAGTTCCAAAAAGTACCATTTAGACAATACATTCCTCAGGGATTAAAATCATAAATCCCACTCCCAGTTCCATCCTGACATAAGTTAAGTTCTCCTCCTAAGACTCCTTGGTTTTCTCTCAGAGATAGGAAATCCACCCCCACCTCCATAGTTCCTCACAGCCAGTGCCCCTCTTCTCTCAGGACACTTTGAATTCACAGCACTTACCAATTACACTTATTTATACGGTCATCTCTTTGACTGTAATGTGAGCTTCCTGAAGGCACAGATTATGTCTTCCTTGCCATCTCCAGTACTTGTTTTTAAAGTAAAATCAATCAAATGCAAGAGAAGCCCATGGATATGAAGCAAAAGCCACACCAGAATTCATGTGATTTTTCTGATCTGAACACAGAGTTGAAAAAAAAATACCCTTGGCTTACACTGCTTCCCAGACAGCCAAAAGAGAAACATTAAACCAACTATGGCCCAGGGACCCAGGCTCCTACTTCCCTAGAGTAGCAAGATGGAGGCTCTCCTCCCCTTGAAGCCTTACACTTGGAGATATAGAGACTGAAGCACTAGGACCTCAAATCCACTTGATTTTAAAACAAAAGTAAAGTAGGCTTGCCTCCCAGATGTTCCAAAGAAACCTGAGCACTCAGCTATCTCAGCCTCAACTACAGTCTAAATTACAAGGGAGAAGGCATGATCAGGTGAGAGGAGGGGGGCCCCAGAGATCTGTGCTCCCTCACCTTCCTAATCAGGTAGAATATCTCGTGGGAATCAGGTCCTCAAAAATTCCCAAGAAGCAAGCAACTTTAGAAATCAGTGAGAAATGTGAGCAAGTTGAATTTGCCCAGGGTTTACAGAGCACTGATCTGTGTGGGGCTGTTAATAGGTTGGTGAGAACATGCCTGCTCATCATGAACTTAATCATGTAGCTTTACATAAAATGGCACTATTGACAAGTACTGGCAAAGGTTTAGGAACACATATGTATCAGGAAACCAAAATAGCAAATCTCTCCCTGTAGTATAAAAACAAAAAAAGTGCAACTCAATGGTTCTCAACCAGGGGTAGCTTTGAGACAGAGGACATTTGGGGCTGTCTAAAGGCATTTTCCTGTTGTCCAGCCTGGTTGAAAAGAGAATACAAATGACATTAAGGAAGCAGAGGCCAGGGATGCAGAGAAATATTCTACAAGGCACAGGACAGTCCCACAAAGCAAAAAATAATCCAAACCAAAGTCCATAGGCCTGATGTTGAGATACTCTGGCATAGATGAAAATTAATTTGCCATGAATTGATAATAATTGAAATTGGGGTGTTTAATGTGTTTAAGCTCATTGCACTTTTTTAACCACGTCTGTCTGTGATTTGTTTCCTGTGATAAAACACCTTAAACATGCTATAAGACCACTTTCTAAAACAAAGTATCTTCTATGTCAGTGCTAATAATGAAAACTCAGCCTTGAATAAAGAGGCTTAACAGATGTGTTACGTTTAAACTAAGAATTGAGAAAACTATAAGACCCATAACAATTTAAGGAAAAGCTTGAAACAATTTTTTGCACATTCAAATTCAGAATCAGCCATTATACTTTATATGCAAGAAAACACAAGAAAGAATATCAAATACATAAAAGCAGTCAATATTTAGACAAAATCCCTGTGTATTCTGCAGTGTATTCTCATAAAACTGAGCTTCAGTGAAAGTCTATTAGTCCCAATATTTTCTACATTGAAAGATTCTGCTTAATAAATCTACTGTAGCTTGAAAGGTTCACAACTGGGCAAAGTTAAGGGTTACTCTTCTCTTATGGTAGCATGCATGGCACCTTCCAGCAACTTGAAAGCTAAGCAGTTGAGATAATGCTTTTGAGGCCTATACCAACTTGATAGCTCCTTGTTTGTTCTACAAGTCATGTAGTCTTCAGCAATAGGGACTTACTATCAAGTTCTGGCAGATGACCAAGAGCAAAGTCAATAACCAGTATTCTCTGAGAGTTGGGAGGACCCCTGGTCAACAGCTCCAAAAGAAGGAGCCCATTCCTGGCATTCAGCTTTTTATTTGTTAGTCTGTGATATTTGGAAGTCCCATTGCCCCCCCCCCAATTTTAGAGGAACTCCATTTAAACTCCTTTTATGTTGTATATGTATATAATTTAACAAGCTTATATAGTGGTAGGTTTCCATATGACTTTTTCAACAGGCCTTTAATGTTAACCCCCCATACTCCTACCTCTGCCCTGCACTTCCATTCCTTCACTTTAACCCTTCTTATTCCATTATTCCTCTCTCTCCCTCTTATCACTGTATTCTGTCTCCCCTACCATGAAGCTCCTCACTCCATGGTCCCTTACTAGTTTCCTGACTGCTATGTCAGGAAACTAGTTTCCAGTTGAAAACATGTATATCTAAAGATTCAAAGCTGGCATCTACATATGAGAAAGAATATGTGACATTTATCTGTCTGGGTCTGGATTACCTCACTAAAGATTATTATTTCCTCTGGTTTTTCACACCACCTAAGAAAGCATTATTTATCTCTCATCTCTCTCTCCCTGTCTAACCCTCCCTCCTCCTTCCCCAGTTAAAGTACCCTGATTTTTCCTGTTTTCCCTTAATAACACCTATCTCCTGTTACCCCCCTCTCTTGAACTCCTTCTTCCACTTTACCCCTCTGATTCTTTGTTTAGTCTTCCCTCCTCCCTTCCCAGTTAAATACCCGCTTTTCCTAATGTCCCCCTTAGTAACATCTGTTTCCTACTATCTCCCTCTCTCAGTCTCTCTTTTTCCCTGTACCTCCATGGTTTGTTTCTATTCTCCTGGCTTCTGTGGCTACATCAGGATATATATTCACATATAAGGATTTGACGCTAAGATCCACAAATGAAAGAAAACATACTCCACTTGTTTTTTATCTGACTCTGTGTTACTTCACTTAGTAGAACAGTTTCCAGTTCCATCCATTTACCTGCAAATTTCACAATTTCATTTTCTTTCCTTTTTTAAATTTTTGCTTTGTTTAGGTTTTGGGGTTTTATTCCAGAATTTCACGTAATGTATTTGATCATATCTCTGGGTGTTCATCAGTTCCCAATAGTTACTCTGCTAGGGCTTCCTACCAATGTCCCCTATCCATGCTGGGCCCCTGTCTGGCTTGGGTTTGCACAGATCTTGAGCATGCTATCATAAGCTCTGTTGAGTTCATATGAGCAACACCTCTGTGGTGTCCAGACAGCAGTTTCTTGATATTCCTCTACCACTCCTGACTCTCACAATCTTTCCACCCTCTCTTTCACAATGATTCCTGAGCTTTGGGAGGGAAAGATGCAATATAGGTGTCCCGTTTAGGGCTGAGCACACTGCAGGGTCTTACTTAGTCTCTGCACATTGACTAATCATGGGTTTCTGTGTTAAGTGTCATCTGCTGCAAGAAGAACTTTCTCTGGTGAGAACTGAGAGATGCACTAATCTATGGTATAAGAATAAGTCACTGTGAGTCACTTTAATGTTATGTCTATTTAGCATAATGATAATAGTAGGTTCTCCCCTATGGCCTGTGATTTGTCTTGTTGTAGGTTCTCTCCCTGATAATAGTGTCACATATGGACTCCCTGCTGTGAAGCAGGCCTTACATCTAATTAAAAGGTGACTGGATACTCACATAATATTCATGGAACTACTGCACCATTAGGCATTTTTTGCCAAGACAATTGTTTCTGTAGCTCAGAGGGTTCATGGTTGGGTA